TGCGCCTCGCCATTTCTTGCACGCTGAACCCGAGGGCATGGGCAATGAAATGTGCAGCTGCGCGAGAAGCGTGCATGCTATACCCAACAAGATTAGGCGAGAACTGCATGGCAGCAGCCACGGGGCGAAGGTCTTCCCAAACAGCACACGGAACGGCCCACACTTCTGAACCCGTTCCAGCAGCCACGTAGAGAACCATGTCCGCACCCAAAATACCAACCCTTCTGTGACTGGGAGGTACGGTGAAGTACTGGCAGCGGCTTCTCTCGTCAAATGCGGGCATCCCCCACAGGACGTTTATGCGCTGAACAAGTAGACGTTCAGCGTGCAGATTGACAGCCGCAGGGATGATTTCATCCAACAAGGTCCTTTTCTTCTCCGCGGTCAAAATGTCATCAGCGGCGCACTCCCCATCACGGCCGGTAAAGTCCGGTTTCGTCTCCCCCACTTTGGTGCAGTACTTCGTCTCGTCCTCCAAATCCTTCACGGAAACCATGATACGAAGCGACTCCCACCCGTTGTTCGCATCGTCTGCCGCGACGGTGTACGCCTGCATCGCGCCCTGTCCCCGGCGTGGCACCTCGCGCACCACCGCAGTCGGCAGCGGGCCGCTCCTCCCCATCATCGCGTCAAATCCACAGCGGTATTGTGTGGCGGGATCAGCAGCGGCAATACGCCCAGTGGCGCAGTACATCAGCAACACCATCACATGCCACAGCCGCAGCGGCAGTGCACTGTAGCGTGGCGGGCGCATGGCGTGAACGAGATGCATCTGGTGACTCGGTGTGGGTAACGGCAGCAGCAATAGCAGCAGTAGTATTATTATTAGCAGTAGTAGCAAAGGCCTTGTCACTTGGAAGGGAAACGGGAAGGAAGAAGAGAGAAAAAGGGCGAAGAGAGACTGCGCCCATAAGAGCAGCAGGGGGAGAACACAGCGCACAGCCAACCAAAAACAATAATAATAATAATAATAATAATAATAATAATAAAGAAATGGCAGTGAGCAAATATTGGACGTCAAAACATATAAACCTCTCAAAACCCTCATTTACGTAATAGCATGCGCACGACGGCGGGGAAGCACGGGAAGAAAAAGAAAAGCAGGAAACAAATTAAACCACACTTGCGCCAAACACGGACGCAAAGGCAATCTTCCCTGTCCCTCAGCGGAACAGCCACGGACACGCCTCGTCTCGGTTAAAGGACACGGATTTTCCCTCGTCCCGCCCGCAGCCAACGACGCACATTTATATATACATGCGATGCTCTGTTTTGCCTTTTCCTCCACGTCATCTTGCACCCGCACAACCTCCACAGAAAGTACGTCCTCTCAACGCAAGCACCGGCTTTCGCACGAATGACAGGCAAAGCAAAGCAAGGCAGTCCAGGAATTGTCACTGCGCGTCCTCCACAAGCAAACGGGTGGGGTGGCGCATTGAGTGTCCAATAATGTCATTATTACTATGTTACGCATCTTGAATGCGGATGTTCACGGGCCAATCACGAAACATTGCTCCGCAGTACGCTGTCTACACCAATCGCAGCACCCCATAGTCGCGCCATCGCCACCGCAGCGGTGCATTTTTTCCTCGTGTTTTCTTAGACAAATTCGGCGGCCCGCACACCAGCCATCATCGTGAAGCAAGTACGCCCTACAACGCGGAGCTGCCCGGCAACCGACCGCGGCACGCGCAACGCCAACTTCCACGTGCGTTTTTCGCCGCGGCCTCCGGGTCAGGCGCGTCGCTCCTGCGGGAACGTCGCCGGCGTTGCGGGGCGCACTCCGCTATGCGTTGGCAGCGCGTATGACCACATCACGGTGCCGCGCGGGCCGGGATCAGGAGCGCCGCACGGCAGAATGGTTGCTTTTTGTCCCTTTGAAGAATTGTGCCCGTGCCCTTCGGTACTCAACCCTGGCGCCTCGATGGGGTGGCCAACCGTTAGGCCTTCATGGCGCAACGGGCGTGGGAGAACAAGTCTCGGCAGTTTGCCAAACGCCGCTTCTCAACTGAAAAGGTATTAAAGGGGTAACTTGACATTTGACCTATTCATCGTCTCTTTTGTGTTTGTGTGTGTTTTTGTTCTCCTGTGGCACCTCTGCGAATTAAGATGAGATGAAAGGGAAGGAACACTCACACACACCCATACACACAGGGAGAGAGAGAGAGAAACTGCAAAAGCCAACATGCGCGGAAGCAGTTTTTTTTTTTTTTTTGTTTTTTTTTTTGGTGAGCGGCGTCTTCATCTTCCATTTCTTCTTTTGTGCCCACTTGCGGTTTTGGACTCGGCTCCGCCCCCACAAGTAAAATAACAGGAAAACGCCGCAAAAACTACAAAAAAATGACCGACAAGAAGCAGAAACAAACATGCAAAAAAAAAAAAAGAAAAAA